CTTGCCAGACAAATGATCTCTAAGAGTCAACACAGATGTCTGGAACTCGTCTCAAACGTCTGGAACTCGTCTCAAACGTGTCTCAAAATAGTTTCCATAAGTCAAACAGTGCCACAAATAGACAGCAGCTTTAGGAAGCTTTGGCCACTAAACTGTGGACAGAAAAGGGCATATTTAGACAACATTGGGTTTGTCACCATACTTAAACGGCCTGTATTTACCTTCTTAGCCACAGCTGGTCTGGGGTGCACCGACGAAAGTGAGACTGCTGAATACTGGCGCCAGTGGTCCTTCTGACCACTACCAGCAGGCAGGGCAGGTTAAATGTCTTGCCCAAGGACACAACAGCAGCATTTTCTGGCAGGGGCCAGGATTGAACCTATAACCACCCAATAACCTGACAACCCACTCTACCTCCTGAGCTACTGCTCAGAAAGCAATTACAAGCAATTTTAATCATATCCACCATGTGACACAGCCATGCATTTAACATGATTCCAACAACATGAGTGGTGGGAGGCAAGATGGCGCCAGCATGTTGGGCAGCTCATCTGTCGCTCTCGCGGTTGTTATGGTTTTTCTTGTTACTGGGATGTTTTTTCTACAATATTAGCTCACTTCTTGTGTATAGCCATGGGGCCCTGCTGCAGCTCCCGCAACCGGCTGATTGTTTGTCACAGCCTTATGATAATGGACAAGACACATCTGCGCTACTCTCGGGAGTCCCCGGATTCTTACTCCGACTGCCAAATCTACCTAAGTGGAGGAAGCGTCGGAGAAGGGGTAAACGGGCTGGACGGCTGGCGAAGCTAAGATCAGTGTTGCTTGACGGACTGAATGTTTTGAGGGAGAATCCTGGTGCGCTGGGCCGTGTTTGCAGTGGTGGCGTCCGCCAGGCCCAGTGGTTTCCGGGTTGGTGTCGGTGGTTGTGCCTACTAGTTTTGAGCTTTGCCTGTTCGAGCTGGGTCATGCGCCTCGACTCTTGGTCACACTCCTGTACCGTCCACCAAGGTTAAATGCAATCTTCTTGGAGGAGTTCACAGAATTCCTCGGTGAAACTATTCCCAAATATGATCAGGTTTTAATTCTTGGGGATTTTAACATCCATGTTTGCTGTCATGATAAGCCTTTGGTGAAGGATTTTTTAAAATCTTATTGACTCTTTTAATCTGTCTCAGTTAGCTGACCAACCTACACAGGTATGTGGGCATATCCTGGACCTTGTGTTGTCTTTTGGGGTATCTGCTTCCAATCTGCATGTTGGGGAGGCCTTTTTCTCAGACCATAGACCTGTTTTATTTAATGTGCCTTTCCCCTGTCAGCCTGTGATGCAGTGTCCTCCTGTGAAACTCTGCCGGGTGTTAAAGTCCTCTAAGGCCACTGAGTTTTGTTCAGTGTTTGGGTTGGTGGGGCAGGGGCCATCTGCTGGGCCTAGTAACACTGAGGAGCTTACTGCACATTTTAACGCGACATGCTCGAAGGTCTTAGATATTGTAGCGCCTGTGCAGGCTAAGAAACATAAATGTAAAAAGGAGCCATGGCTAAATATGACCACACAGGACTTAAAAAGGAAATGTAGGAAGGCAGAGCGTAGGTGGAAGCGGGATGGGCTTCAGATCTCCCTTGACCTACTGAGAGATAGCTGGGTAGCCTACCAGAAAGCGGTGAAAGAGGCGAGAATTAAGTTCTTTGCTGACATTATTTCCTCCAACTCACAGAATCCTCGGGTTCTTTTTAGCACTTTGGATTCTATTTTAAATGCAAATGAACCACTGGCTATTGAGTACACTACAGAATCCTGCAATAATTTCCTCAACTTCTTTGTGGACAAAGTGGGGAGGACGGAGGCTTCGATCACACCCTCAAATTACCATCCTCCTCTGCGGGGTCCTACCCCAGGGACCCTGGAGAGCTTTTATCCAACATCTCCCATAGAGTTGGAGAAGGTGGTCAATAGTCTGAAACCATCTGGTTCTGTATTGGACGCAATCCCTGCTAAACTTCTAAAAGAAGTTTTTCCAGTTGTGTCTCCTTATGTTCTAGAAATGATAAATAGCATTCTACTATCGGGTGATGTTCCCAGCTCTTTTAAACATGCAGTAGTGCGCCCTCTTCTGAAGAAAGCTGGCCTAGATTCAGCGATTTTATCTAACTATAGGCCTGCTTCCACACTGCCGTTCTTAGCTAAGGTCTTAGAAAAACTTGTGTATGCCCAAATGATATCCTTTCTACGGGAAAATGAGATGCTAGAGATTTTTCAGTCTGGGTTTAAGTCTCTCCATAGTACAGAATCAGCCCTATTGATGGTTTTGAATGATATCATGATGGCAAACGATTCTGGGGAGGCTGTGGTTTTAATAATAATAATAATAATAATGCATTGAACTTATATAGTGCTTTTCTAGACCCCCAAAGACGCTTTCACACACTCTCACATTCACACATTGCTAGTGATGGTAAGCTACTTGTAGCCACAGCCACCCTGGGGAGGTCTGACAGAGGCGAGGCTGCCATTTGGCGCCGTCGGCCCCTCTGACCACCACTAACACAGGCAAGTTGGGTGAAGTGTCTTGCCCAAGGACACAACAGCAGGATACCCCTGGTGGGTGCTGGAATCGAACCCAAGACCCTCTGATCATGAGGCAACCCGCTCCACCACCTGAGCTACTGCTGCCCCAGTTTTGTTGCTCTTGGACTTGACTGCGGCATTTGACACCACAGACCACAATATCCTGATTGGTCGACTGGAGCACTGGGTGGGAATATCAGGCTTAGCACTCCAGTGGATAAAATATTTCCTGTCAGGAAGGAATTTTTGTGTAAGACTGGGGGACTGTTCATCTCATACTGCTGATTTGCAATGTGGAGTGCCTCAGGGATCAGTCCTGGCACCTCTCCTCTTTTCCCTCTATCTGCTGCCGCAGGGTGACTTGTTTCATCGGCACAACATCAATTTTCACCTGTAAGCAGATGACTGTCAAATCTATTTACCTGTATCATGCAATAACTCAAGTTCTTTTAAACCACTCTTGGACTGCTTGGAGGATGTCAAGTTATGGATGGCTCAAGATTTATTGTTTTTCAACCAGAATTAAACTGAGACTATCCTGTTCTGCCCAAAATACAAACATGGATGTGCCCAAGGGATTGCCTCTCCTTCATTAGCGCCTTTTGAGAAGGCTGTGGTCACCAACCTAGGGGTGAAGTTGGATGTAGAGCTCACACTGGACAGCCAGGTCAATGGAACAATCAGATCCTGCTATTTCCATCTCAGGAGAATAGCTAAGATTAAGCTGCTGCTATCTCGTAAACATCTGGAAACTGTCATCCACGCCTTCATTACCACCAGACTGGACTACTGTAACTCGCTTTATGCAGGCATCAAGCAGGCCTCCATAGTGAAACTGCAGAAGGTCCAAAATGCAGCAGCCAGGTTACTGACTGGTACCAGGGGACCTGAACACATCACGCCCGTCTTGGCATCCCTACACTGGCTTCCAGTCTCTTTTAGAATTTCATTTAAAGTTCTGGTGTTTGTTTTTAAATGTTTAAATTGGCTCCACGTTATCTGGCAGACCTGATTCAGCCTTATGTTCCCGGAAGGAACCTTCGGTCAGTTCCGAAACACAGACCACAATCCCGAGGGGGTTGTGCTTTCTCGGTGCTGGGGCCAAGGCTCTGGAATGAGCTACCTGCATGGGTTAAACAGGCCAGCACACTCGGCAAGTTCAAGAGCCAGCTGAAAACTCACTTTTATTCTTTAGCTTTTATTCAGGAAGAGTCCCGTTAACTGTTGGCTTGGCACTTTTTGCTGCCCCACCTAGATTTTATCTGCATGTTTTTGCTGGTTTTAAATGGTTTATATGTTTTTATTTTTTATGTTATTTATTTATTTTTTAATGCTTATTTCTGCTGTGCAGCGCCTTGTTTGGTCCTTGGGCCATGTGAAGGCGCTATGTAAATAAAGTTTTAGTTAGTTAGTCAGTTAGTAACAGTGTTGCAGTTTTTTTTTTTGTTTTTCTTTTACAAATGTGGGTCTTAAACTAGTCACCAACAGTCACCCAGGATTTAGTAAACAGCTGAAAATACAAATAGCAGGGAGATGACACCCAAAGGGCCAAGTAGGTTTTTGGTCCACCTTTATGTGACTTGCCTTTGCTAAAACAGCTGGGATAGGAGAAAAAGGCATCTGGAGTCAGGATTTGATGTTCAGCAGAGAGCCTTTGATTAGTGGCAGCCAATCAAAAGTCCCAAACGTATCCAGTAACAACAATGGTTAATGCTACCCAGCAGACAGAGGCATTCACAGCCGCCAAACAACAGTCAGGCGTCCTAACACTGCCGGTTGAGCTCAGCAGGATCAGCCGAACTCAGCCCAGTTCAGTGTTTGGCATTCAGCTCAGGAGACACATGAGTTATGTGTGACACCCAAACACCTCAATGACAACTTAGTGCATTTCCTCATCTATTTGACAGGGGGTTCATTCATGGGGCTCAATGCACTGCTGCTGCTTAGAAACAGAGCTGTGGGTTTGGTTCTTTCTCTCAGTCAGATATCAGGAAGAAAACCTTTTATGAAGATGTCAAAACATTTTAGCAGAACCTTAAAAACTCAATCTGAATCAGCGACAATAAATTACTGCAACTGAAGCTTGATTACTCTTTCAGATGCCCTTTTCTTCAATGACTTGATGCTCGTTGAGTAGGACAGGACAGGGATGGATTTCACAGAGATTTAAGGTCTCCAAGAAACTAGCCGGAATCCTTTCATGCGTTTTTCAAATACTTCCAACATTCCTGGCACGACACTTGTGATCCGATATGCACATGGAAAACCAAACATGACGCCAGTAGTATCAACTTACTCTGGAGTGACACCTGGGACTTATTTAACACACTTTTAACCAAAATGAGCGTGTCTGCACAAATCTGTTGCACATTTAGCTGAAAATATAACCTCTCTATCTATAAACACAAGTGTCTATGCTTCAGCAGCCTACCTCTGACATTTTCATGTGCGCCAGATTCGGGTCCACACCACAACACGCGTAAAGAAATTCCAAGCTGATGGTGGAAAATGGAATCACCAACTCTTGTGTTATCCTGAGCGCGAGCGCAGTCACAACCCAGCTGAGCCGCACTTCACACCAAGACCCAGACACCTCTGAGCGCGTAGGGGAGGGGTTTCAGACACCTACCAGCTTTAAATGCCCGATGCGCTTTTCCCCTGACATCTTGAAAGTATCCAGGAGTCAATTCGGTGAAAAAATAAATACAATAAAAAAAACACACACACACACAGGAGGATTAAAAAAAGAACGGGGAAGGTTCCTAGTGGAGAGGAGATCCTTTTTCCCTTCGCGTTTGCTCCACAAGGCTCCGCGCAATAAACGCCAGCTCAGTTCAGTCAGAGCGCAGAGAGCTGCACCGCTCCACTGGCGACAGCTCCCAGGCAAAGCACAATGTTCAACTTTGGCTAAGCGAGAGAGAGAGAGAGAGAGAGAGACAATCACAGGAAAAAGCGGCTCCTCCTCCACCCATACAATACAAAGTGCACAGGCAAGCAGATGGAAGCTTCAGTGACGTGAGCAGACCAGCCCATGAGTACAGGTCACACACACCTCAACAGTTAGGGTGGAGGTGGGTAGGGGGACTGTTGGGATCCAGGTGTCGGACAATTAGGTCTCATGTGGTTAATTCACCTTCATGACAGGCAGCCAGTTAGGAAGAGGAACGACTCGTAGCCAGGAATCTATTTTTAGTTTCTTGTGCTGGAAAATGATGCAACTCTAGGCAATAAAAGCAGATCAGTAGTTAAATAGCCTAGACTGTTCCATTTTATCAATAAGTAAAACAAGAGAGGGTGCAGCGTTGCTCCACAGCACAACAGGCCCAAAGGCAGCAATTAAAATATGCATGGATTTAAACTTCAGCAAAAGTGGTTTAAATAGTAGTAACACCACTCTGAATTAATTAGATTACATTCTGTGTGTGTGGCTCAAGCAAATCTGTGTATGTGACTGAATCAGCGATTTACTGATTGGTCCAATTAAAGGCTATTTGGCAACTTTGAAATAATCAACTATTGTGTGTGATATTAAATGGAAAAGGCTGCAGCTATTTAGTTTTTATCCATGTATTTTTTTCTTTTGTTGAATGTCAAAACTATGAAAAGAAAATTGATTGAAAACTGATTTTTACCATAAGAGTTGATTATATTTCAAGGTCAAACTAATCTAACAACGCCAATAATAATAATAATAATAATAATAATAATAATAATAATAATAATAATTATTATTATTATTATTATTATTATTATTATCAGATTAAGTTCTTTCTTTCTTTATTGAACATGCAAATCAATAGCCAACCCAAAGCATTCAAAAAGTATCCAAAAAGAAACCCACACACACACACACACACACACACACACATATATATATATATATACATATATACACACACACACACACACACACACATGTAGAACATGGTCAATGGGAAGGGAACGAAGCTCTGGTAGCTCATATAATCCCCCCCCCCCCCCCCCAAATCAAATTTCAAGAAAGATCAAGCAAAAACATATATATATATATATATATTCCCAACACTGAGTGTCATTGCCATGTTCCTATAACATGTTTTATCCTCAATCACACAAACAAAATTTACATTTTCTTATGTTTCACCCCCCCCCATGTTCACAGCTCCCATTTCACCAACAATAGACAATTACAATCAAATGCAACACCCTTACAACTTTTCCTTCTCTTCCATGTATTTAATTAGTATAATTTTTTATACTCCTTTTTAAACTTATGCAATGAGGAAGTTTGCTTTAGATCCTCACTTATCTTATTCCAAACTCTTACACCCATAACAGAAATACCAAATGACTTCAATGTTGTTCTAAAATATGTATGCCTAAAATTAAGTTTGTATCTGAAATTATATAGGTTATCTGGTTTTATAAATAGCATTAATAATTTGTTTGGTAATAATTTCCTATGCACTTTAAACATGAACTTCGCTGTATATAGTTGAAGTAAATCTTTAAATTTTAGTATTTTAGAATATATAAATAACGGATTAGTGTGTTCTCTAAATCTAACATTGTGAACGACTCTCAGGGCTCTTTTCTGTATGATAGACAAGGGTACAATAGATGTTTTATAAGTGTTACCCCATACCTCTACGCAGTAAATAAGATAGGGATAAATCAATGAATAATAAAGGACATGGAGTGATTTATAATCCAAGTACTGCCGAGCTTTATTCATAATGTAGATGCTTCTCGCGACCTTATTATATACATGTTTAATTTGTGGTTTCCAATGTAATTTATTATCAATTACTATTCCAAGGAACTTATGTTCTGTTACTTGCTCAATTTGACATCCATCTACTTGTAGCTTAACCTCAGTTTTATTAGCCATACCAAACAACATACATTTTGTTTTTGCTATATTTAATGTAAGCCTATTTTCAATAAACCACTCCTTAATGACGCACATTTCAATTTGGACCATCCTTTCAAACTCGCTAATATTATCTCCTTCACAGAAAATAGTGGTATCATCGGCAAACAAAACAAATGTAAGTGTATTTGTTACATTACTCAAATCATTAATAAATAATAAAAATAATTTTGGACCCAACACAGACCCCTGTGGTACTCCACAAACAATGTCCAACCATGAAGATGAACATTCTCCAAATTTCACAAACTGTTTCCTCTGTTGTAGATAGCTTGTCAACCAGCTCAACACTACACCCCTAATCCCACACCTCTCTACCTTTTCAAGAAATATTTTATGATTAACTGTATCAAAAGTTAATAATAATGTGTGGTGTTAATGTTCAATGTTCATATTTATCATCATCATCGTGGTAAAAAATAAGGTAGATAGGCCTGTATTTGTATAGCACCATAAAGTCCAACCCCCCCCCCACCCCCCCACCACCACCCCCCACCACCACCACCACCACTCCATGGTGCTTTACAACAGGAGTCATTGCCACAGCTGACAGAAGAGAGGCTGCCGTAGACAGGTGCCATCAGTCCCTCTGACTATGCAAGGAGGGTGAAGTGTCGTCCCAAGGACATGACTTTGGCACACCAAGTGGGGCACAAACTTGCACCCCTCAGGTTATGATCATCATTATCATCGTCATCATCAAACTTTATTTCTATCACACTTTCCAACAACCAAAAGGCTGACCAAAGTGCTGTAGATTTTGCTGTAACTTAAACATAAATGTCAAACCATAGACCCATGAAAGATAAAAGAGAATAACAAAGAAATACAGCAGAGAAGACACAATAAAAGCATTGGGTGGGTGGGGGGGGGGGGGGGGGGGTTAACAAAAAGAGCATCTATTATCTATATGCTTTAATAAAGATAAGGAGTAAACATGAGTTTTCAATTTAGTTTCAGAGAAGGAGCTTGTCTCGTAGCCAGTGTGTCATTCTTGCAGCCAAGACCAAAAATTCTCAGTCTCCTCTAAATCTCTTTTTTGCCCATGGAACAACCAGCAGACATCGTTCAGCTGACCAGAGGGCACGGGTTGGTGTATACTGGTGCAGTGAGTCTGACAAATAAGAGGGAGCACGTTCATGCAAAATTTTACAAACAAATGAAAGGATTTTAAACTGTTTTGGTATTCACAAGTCCTCATCCATCCATCCATCTTAGTCGCTCCATCCTCATTAGGGTCACTGGCAGAAAAAGTGCTCATTTTTTGAGAATGTTTTTCTTTCCTATTATCCTCTTTTGGGTTCAGTATATACATTATCACTAGCCTGGTAAGCCTTCATATATATGCAAATATAAAGTCTGGCCATGACCCATAGACAGAGCTCGGTCGAGGGCGGACTCTATGGATTTCTTTCAAACTGTTGCCACACACAACAGGACAATGCTTTGACCAATTAGAATAACAAACAATGTGACATATTCATTGATACGGAAAACAATCAATGGAGAAGTACGCCTTACATTGTTGACGAGGAAGAAGAAGCTGAGCTGCAGCCATCTTCGTTGTTTTGATCCAATGCAGTTTTGCTGTCATTAAAACCTGAGCCTTAACAATGCCACGCCTGCCAAATTCCACAACCATAGAGTGTTTTGATTGGCCCTGCCTAAACTTAGCCTAGCCAATGGTAGACCTGCTGAGGTCACAATGAAGCATGGCTAGACCGATCTGCAGCACAAAATCTTTCACTACCGCTACAGAAATTATAGATATTATTACAATATAGGGACAAAAATATGTTCTACCAAGTGACTGACCTGTCAATGAAAGGGTTAAAATGGTTTTAGATCTTAAGCAAATGTGAAGGTCAATAAATGTGTGTTTATTTTTTAAGTGTCCATTCTCTTAGGTGTTTGTAAAGCTGCGTTAACGAATCTGCAGAACAAGTTTGGTTTTGAACACACAGTCACGGAACACTCACCCCTCCTCTCAGGTATCTTCTCTGAGACGCTTCTGCTGGAACTGGAAACCTGCGAGCTCGAACAAAACCAGAGAGCGCTCAACACTAGTAACCGTTCTCTTGGTCCAAAAGTCTTTTGTTGTCCGTGACTTCAAATGGTGGTTTCCTTTTTGGGACTCTGGTATTGTCCTAAAGTTGAAGTAGCAGTTTCTCCTTCCCTGATATTAATGAATGGAGAACTTCTCACACCAGTGGTGTTCTGTTTCTAATTACAGGAGTGCGTCAAGAGTGAAGGACCCAGGGAGGTGCGGCAGATCGGCGAGACCAAAAAGTGAATGATCCAAAATATTTTATTGGCAGAGGTTTTTAGACAAATGTAAAAAAAACACTTTATTCTTTTTTATCTGCACCATATATTTATAGCTATAGTATGTTAGAATGTTGTTAGCATGAAAACATTTTTCAAGCTAATTTGTTTTCCTAATTTATTATAGCAGTCCTAAGTTATGCAGTTATTTGACATCTTTGAGTCGTAGAAAAAAAAACAATGCATGTCTTCTATTGTCCTGGCTTTTAAAAAGAGGCACTGGCCACAGAAAAAAAACCTGTATCAGGTTGACTTCTAGCCCAGTGATCTCTAGACAGCTGGGCAAAAGCTGCTTTCTTGTGGATGTTGATACCTGCACATCCTGTAAGCCACATCGATTTCTAGTGTTTCTCTTCATTCACTGGCAGTTTGAAAAGGAAAAATAATGTTTGTCAAATAAATGTCTAAAAGTCTAAAAATGCTGTTCCTTTGAAAGATTTGTTGAAACGCAAAAAAGAATTAAATAAAAAATAACATTCTAATGATGTTTGATATTTTATCTATTGCTTTAAAGGTCAACTTTACTCATTTTTAATACATTTGCAGTGGTCTCTAGTTGGAATAAATGCCTGAAAAACAAATTAAAAGCCTAAAAAAAGGAATAAATGCCTTGGTAAATCATACTCTGGGAGAAAAAAAGCTCTGGTGCACGTGTTTGAGGAACTAGAATTGAGCCAGAGGAGAAAGTAGCTTCTGACAGCAGGATTTGGAGTCTTATTTCCTGATATTTGGAAATCTTGTCTTTGATTAGACAACAGCAACATGACTCTACCACTGACTCTGTTTGCTCTATGTTGATGTTTTATCTCCACAAATAACACAAGCCTGAAGGAGTTCTGCTGTGTTGTTGAGTTGCTAATGCTAACGGTTCCTAGTTGAGACGTTCTCTGCTGTTTCCTGGACGTTAACAACCTTCCCTGTTGTGAGTCAAGATGGGTGAGTCCATGAACGTTACAGTGTGATGTAGACCTGTCAGGCTTTTCTGAACTGTTTTTCTGGTCTATTTCCTATCAGAAGCTAATGCAGGAGATAGGTGTAGGAGACTGTTTTTCATGTTCAGCCTGCATGAAATTCTCTGATCATAAAAAAGGTAATAATTATAACATTATTATTATGAAGGGTGAGGCGAGTGGCAAATGCAAGTGTGTGTGTGTGTGTGTGTGTGTGTGCGTGCTTGATCTGCTGCCTGTGTCTATTTAATTGGGAACAATGCAGAGGTTAAAAGGCTTTGCAGAGTTTTCCACCAGACTGCTCCAGTTTGTTGTTTCCCTGCCATGACCTGCACCTGTATGACC